TTTCCCCAGGGGCAGTAACCTAGCCTGACCCGGCGTGAGGGCACAGATAAGCTGCACTCTTAAGTCAACAAGGCTGTGAGAGGGTGGTGAAGGGGGGTGGGAGGCACAACAACCTAGTGATGAAGTGATGGATTGTGGTGAGGTGGACGTCAAGGCCCATGGGTAGACATCCAAGCAAGGGAGAGAGAGATGTAAGGATGAAATGGGTGAAGGAAGGAGAGGATGAAGGGAGGAGAGGATGAAGGAAGGAGAGGGTGAAAGAAGGAGAGGATGAGAGGTTAAAAGACAAGAAAGAAAAGAGAAAATGAGAGATAAACAAGTATACAGATGATATCGGTGTAGACTTAACACGAAGGGACAGTGGATGGGAGGGGCTGGGAGAGTGGGGAGGGAGGGTGTTAGGGAGGGAGGGTTTTGTAGGAGAAGTACAAGGAGTGTGTTGAGGCAGTGTGTGTGGCGCTGGGCAGGAGCAGCCCCACACACACACACGGGTTACCCACGTCCGCACACAACCCTCCTCTCCTACCCCCAACAACCACACACACACACACAGACAGACAGAGAACTTCAACATAGCATTTGCACACCATGTATATTAATAGAACTAACGACAAGATACTAAGATAAACCACAAAAAATAGTCTTAGAAAAATTCGTGTAAAAATCGCACGCTTTAGAGACGAGAAGGTTAAGTCAGTAGAAGAGGGAACACTTAAAGAACATTGAGACACAAATATATTACCATTTTCTGAAGTATTTTAAAACTTTCAAAAACTGCCTTTATGGGTGACCGACCGAAGATAGACAACAGTGAAATTGTCCAAAAATTCAGTACGAATTATAGGATTTTTCACTCAACTCTCTGGGGATCTCAGTTTATGACTTGGGATCTCAATTGATATCCCAAAATCCGTAATTGACCAGTCGGGGATGTGGAGCACAGAACACATCTATCTCGTTCCAGGCCAGAAATATCGTACTTTGAATCTTGAGAACAAAAAAATCTCAGTGTTCTATTGTTGCTTTTACCTCTATCGTTCATTAAGGTACAGGATTATATGTAAGTAAACTACATATTTTTTGTCCATTACATATTCAAACACATATCTGTGATTAATTAAGGATTATTAAATTTAATGGAAGCTAAGGAGGAGGATATTCTTGTGTGTACTCGCCCCAAAAAAATATCTTCACGGAGGTGATCGATGAATTTCAAAATGAACACTGTGACTCCTGTTGTCTCGGTAGCGTTGTCAAAATCCTTCACCTGTTGTGTCATATTATCTCACACAAAATCGTAAAGATACTTTTTTTTCAGTGTTAGACCGGAGGGTAGAAGGTGTGAGCGTTTCTGGAGTTTCCTTGACGAGCAGGTCGACATGTGTAATAACTTGACACCGTGACAGCATAAAAAACCTTCCCTACATCACGCCAACCCAGCGCCAAAACCCTGAAAGAAATGCTGTAACTTGACGATGTGTTGGAGTACCTGTGGTGGTTGATGGTGTGTTGGAGTACCTGTGGTGGTTGATGGTGTGTTGGAGTACCTGTGGTGGTTGATGGTGTGTTGGAATACCTGTGGTGGTTGATGGTGTGTTGGAGTACCTGTGGTGGTTGATGGTGTGTTGGAGTACCTGTGGTGGTTGATGGTGTGTTGGAGTACCTGTGGTGGTTGATGGTGTGTTGGAGTACCTGTGGTGGTTGATGGTGTGTTGGAGTACCTGTGGTGGTTGATGGTGTGTTGGAGTACCTGTGGTGGTTGATGGTTGTGGTTGAGACCTGTGGTGTTGATGGTGTGTTGGTACCTGTGGTGGTTGATGGTGTGTTGGAGCACCTGTGTGGTTTGATGGTGTGTTGGAGTACCTGTGGTGGTTGATGGTGTGTTGGGTACCTGTGGTGGTTGATGGTGTGTTTGATGGTGTGTTGAGTACCTGTGGTGGTTGATGGTGTGTTGGAGTACCTGTGGTGGTTGATGGTGTGTTGGAGTACCTGTGGTGGTTGATGGTGTGTTGGAGTACCTGTGGTGGTTGATGGTGTGTTGGCACCTGTGGTGTTGATGGTGAAGGGCACCTGTGGTGGTTGACAGTGTTGGAGTACCTGTGGTGGTTGATGGTGTGTTGGAGTACCTGTAGGTTGATGTGTGTTGGAGTACCTGTGGTGGTTGATGGTGTGTTGGAGTGTTGACCTCCTGTGGTGGTTGATGGTGTGTTGGAGTACCTGTAGTGGTTGATGGTGTGTTGGAGTACCTGTGATTTAGCTTACGTCAAACAATCTTAAGGGGGGGTAACAGTGAGACGAGGATCAGTGAGACGAGGATCAGTGAAACTAAGAGCAGTGAGACGAGGATCAGTGAGACGAGGCTCAGTGAGACGAGGATCAGTGAGACGAGGCTCAGTGAGACGAGGAGCAGTGAGACGAGGCTCAGTGAGACGAGGAGCAGTGTGAAGGAGGGGAATTGATAGTTGGACGTATGTCAAGAGGAGGAGGAAGAAGGAGGGCGGAAGGTTGGGGTTGGCGAGGCAGGATGGAGGCGCCCTGGCAGGTAATAAAGGTATTGACACGATGGTGATCAACAGGTTGACAGGGGTGGGCGCTCTCACACCTCCGCCCAGTCCACCAAACGTAAACAGAATAATAGACTTACTGATGCTAAGGCAACGTGTTCCAACTCCACAAGATATAAATGAAATACAGAAATTTATGTCAACACAAATAATAGTTCCTGTGTATCTTTTCGTCATGTTTCCTTCCGTGTTGTCGTGCTACAGCTGGGGGGTGGGGGTGTCCTTGTCTCTATCACCAGTGCGTCCCGGGATCGATCTTCTGGTCGGGTGTAAGAAGGGTGATACAGTGTCACCCAACCAGATATCGCAGATTCATAGCAAAAACAGACCGACCGACCGACCGACCGACCGACACTTTGTATAAGCAAATTTTCGTCAAATATTTGTCGCTGCTGCCTTGTCGGCGTAACGCTGGTATGTCATTGTGTTAGGTTAGGTTAGGTTAAGTTAGGCATTGTGTTAGACCAAAATGACAAGAACAGCTGTAGTTTGTAGGTCTTAGTGGTGGGTGCAACACATGGTTGTAAATCACACACTGACGGTGAGAGTAATTTACACACTGTTGTTGTTATTTACGATGATACATTCTCCTGCACCTGTGTACGACGCATATCTTGTTGTGTTGATATGACAGCTGTCGTCTGTATGATGTGCCAGGGTATGTGTATTTAACACATACCCTGGCACATGTATTAAATTCCTTCTCGGGTATTCCTATAGCTTAACCTAACCTAACCTAACCTAACCTAACCTAACCTAACCTAACCTAACCTAACCTTTGAGAAACAACTAATGTTTGTTTGTGTATGATGAGGGAGTACATAAGAGTGTCACTAGATACATGTACACGGGTGAGGTGTGTGTGTGTGTGTGTGTGTGTGTGTGTGTGTGTGTGTGTGTGTGTGTGTGTGTGGGGCACCATACACATCACAGGGTGGTGAGGGGGGGCGGCTATTGTGTTTGAAGTTTGCCTGCGTCCGTTCACGGTGTGTTTGATGGGGCGACAAACGCGACGTTCGTTTAGTTTAGGTATTTTATGTTTTAACTCGCGTGTTGTTGGTGACTCGAGGGCGTCACAACAAACACTAATATCCAGTGACAATTGTTTAAAAGAAACGAGTAATCAGTCGAGTCCCTCACCTTCATCAGTTGCATGAAGTTGTTGACTCTACTTGTGTTTATAGTAATGTACTTGATGGTTACTTACCCTAACATTGCAATTCCTGCAACTGCAACAGTTACGAGGAGGATGCGCTGGTTGAGGACCACGTCACTCTTGATCTGCATAACTGCGTTGCCTAGCTCGTCCAGGTCCTGCGACACCTCTGACGCCACCGTCTTCCTCTCGACGGGCACCTCCAGCACGGCGGACACCTTGGGGGCGTTAGTGTGAGACTCCCTGGTGGAGGCGTGCGGGGTGTGGGCTGTCACCGTTGCTGGGAAGGGCTGGCGGCGGGTGGGAGGCTGCATGGCTGTTACTGCAGGACTCGCCGCCACAGCCTCCTGTTTCGGCAGCAGCTCCGCCTCCTCCTCAACAGGTGCTTCATCTTCGTGATCAATGGGGTGGGCGGGGAGAGAAGGCGTGGTGGTTATGGTGGGCGCGGTGATAGGAAGGGCCGTGGTAGAGTTAGGGATTACCACCTGGTGTGTTGTGGGCTCAGGTTCTGGCTCGGCCAGGGGAGCTTCTGTAGTTACTACTTCCACTTCCTCAACATCATCAACGATCTGTTTTGGTTTGCGATTTTTCCTTTTCTTCGTTTTCCCAGATCTTCTTTTTGGTTCCGTTTCTTCTATTTCTTCCTCTTCTTCCACTAGTTGTTCTTGTTCTACTGTTTGCTGCTCCTCTACTACAGGCTCCTCGTCTGTATCGTAGAAAAACATATCGCCGATATTATCCTTGATGAAGCTAGTGAGAGACTCTTCCTTGCCACATTTGAACTCTACGTCGTTGTGGGCATGGCAGAGACACAGGTCATTACACCATTTCATTTTTTCCTCTATCTTAAAGTTGTTCTTCTCCAGCCTCTTCACCTGTCTCTTTGAGAAGTCCAGGATTCCATACACTTGGTTTCGATTGAAACACTGCACTTCCACCTGCGTCTCGGTGCGACACATACACAGAGTGCTGCACCAGTACAGCCCACCCATCACACTTTTACCGGGTTCGGCCAGGACACTAGCCAGGCACCAAGCCGCGAGTACGTGCAAAATTCCCTGCATCTTGTCTTAAGAAATCCCACCAATTCACTTCCACAATTGGCTCACAGAGTCACAGGAACGAACATGTATCGAGTCCACGTAAATGACGGAGCGCACGGCAGTGGTCGGGGTGGAGCGCGGGCGTCGGGCGGGAGTGGGACACGTCCTGGGTACGCACGGGGTTGACGGCTGGCACACTACTGACCAAGGCAGGCCGGGGGCGCTACGTCGAGGGCCCAGCCAGTGTGCCGGGCTACACTCGCTCCCTCCTCACCAGAAGGTCACGGGCACCCCGCTGCCAGGGTCACCCAACTAAAAGCACTTCTAAATTAAACGTTTCCTTAAGCTGGCAACACTCTATAATTGGGAATCTTTCGTTATTTACCTGATGTTTACCTGATGGCCACCCAAAATGGCCCAGAGGTTGGCCAGCGACCTGTGAAGGATCCCTTCAGTTTTCTTCAGAGCTATTTTGAAGCCCAGTACTGTTGTCGATTCCACAGGTTGAGCTGGTAGATATGTTTAGAGTACATAAACTGTACTCTGACCGCGTAGTTCAATATGAATAAAAGTTCATGGATGACCTAAACGATTTTATTTGAATATATTATGTTATTATAAGTACTCATAAAGCATAACATTACAGAGGACAAAGTTTTTGGGACTAGTTCATTATTATCCTTTGTGACCCAAATGAACAGCTGATATATCCTCCGGCTGCTGACCACGTCCTCCTGTACTAACACTGGACCCAAGGAGGACCCAAGCTCATCACTGAGGTTTAGGGAAACAAGTAAACTGTTTATATATTTTAATGTTTCTGATTATTCGTGTTAACAAGAGGCCCACTTTATGATCTTGAATTAGTACATGTAACCAGTGTATAAGTAGTGTTCTTAGTACATAATCCTTAGCTTCTGAAGGTGGAGTCCTCTAGCGACAAGTCTATGGTGAACCTCGACAACAACAAACGTAAAGGAGTTAGATTTGAAACACATCATGTCGTCTACGTGCTGGAGAGACAGAGGGAGAGATCACCTATGTATTACACTAGCGGTCACGCGGTCACTTTTATATGGTGTGTGTGCGTGTGTGTGTGTGAGGGAGAAGAGACAGGGTGAAGGTTGTCAGTAGAATAACCACGAGAGTTAGGTTAAGTGAGCGTGTATATACTAATTAATGGCAGACCTGTATTGAAGGATAGAATTTATTTGTAAGGTAATTTTGGTCTTATTGGTGTCGTTATTTTCAGTGATTTTGTTGATATTTAACACAATATTGATAAAAACTACAAGAATAACACTCATTCTCTTGCTGCTCGGCGTGACGTCAGTAGAACAGATCTTAGGTACGGTATAGTTAACAATGACGTCAACAGTACTTAACAAGAGGTCCTTTGAAGGGCTACAAGGAGCAAATATCATCTTATATGGTTCCCTTGTTATGAGTAAGTCAGGTGTCACCATCATCACCATCATCACCATCATCATCACTCTACTACCGTGTGATACATCTTCATTAGCATCACTGTGTTGTAAATGGTGATATCAATACCAATGCCTTTATCATACGGTACTTCTTGAATCTCTGGTAACCCATGAGCTAGTGAGAGTGGGTCACATAGGTGGTGAGGATATAACACAATGAATGCTACTGAACTCTCTGTTACAAGGAGGCAGTGAGGCCACCATAGCACATGAGTATTTTTTACTTCTGCTCATGTAAGGTTCGGTAACGTGGACATTCACAGCTGGGTGGACTCGGGGAGCCTCGGGATGTAACCAGCGATAGGGACAAGCTCTAAATCCACTCGGTCGTCGCATGAGATATAAAACACACACACACACACACACACACACACACACACACACACACACACACACACACATGTAAGAGATTCCTGTAACAGCTAGGCCTACACAAACGGCCTTTTTACAGATGTTGGCAGCGATTTCAAAACGAACTCATGGTAAACAGTAACCGTTTCAACACACTACCACACCCTTGTTGACATAAAGTAACATAGATGTTTAGCTTCCCGGACGCTGAGTCGACTGTATTGGCACCAAGATTAGACTAATTTAATAAACTTTGAAAACAATTTATCAACAGTTCAGCTCAAGCTTCAAGGACAAGTATGAGTTACCTTCACCACTCAGCTGGGAGTCACTCAAGCTTCAAGGACAAGTATGAGTTACCTTCACCACCCAGCTGGGAGTCACTCAAAGTCACACCTACAAGTCGACAGTGGTGACGTCTTATCGATATAGTGACGCAACATAGTGACTTTAATTACCCATACTTTGCGGGTGGTTTAATGTATTTAGAGGTTAGGTTAGGTTAGGTTAGGTTAGGTTAGGTTAGGTTAGGTTTGGTTAGAGTTAAACATTCAGGCAATAAACCTGGCCATACACAGCGGATAACAGCTACTTATTGATGATTTTTAATTGACGTGTTTCAGCCAGAGACAACAGATTTGACTGTAAATAATAATAATAATAATAATGATAATGATAATATTAATAATAATAATAATATTAATAATAATAATAATAATTCAGTACAAACGCGGTACAGAGCATACAAAAGACAATGCAGTGTTGCAGCTGGTGTAAGGGCCGATACAGCCATGTAAAGAACAGCAAAATGAACAAGAACAAGAACTTCAGGAAGAACTAACCTGGAGATGCTTGTATAAAGGTTCCCATGTGATTCAGATGTGCGTGAGTGAAGTCTTGTTTCTTCCTTGTGGTTTAACAGTAATATTCTACGTCTTACAGCTCGTGTTTTGAAAAGTTTCCAATTATCGGATATTACTATTTTTTATCCCTTGGGGCAACTCATTTTAAGGATGTGAGATCGTTAATAGTGAGGGAAGTTAATGTCGCTACTTGACTCGCTTGATTTATCTCTCCTCCACTCTTAGGCAGTGTGAGGGCGGCACAGTCTCCATGCGTCTCTGCTGTGGTTTTCCCCCATCTATCATGAGTTTGTTTTCTCATGCTGAGTTTCGCATCTCTCGTATCCTTTGGTGGTACATGTCTGTCTCCCTGGATCTTGGTCTTTCTTCCTCGGAGCCTCCTCCTTCTACTCTTCCTCCTCGTACTCTTCCTACTCCTCCTCCCACGTCTCTCCTTCCCCAACGTCCTCTGGGTGCCGTACCGTCTCTCACTCTTATCACACATCTACACTCTAATCTTGTTTTTATTAATCACAGCCTGTCTGGTGGCTAAGTCTCGGCCCTATATCTTTGCGCATCATAAACTACTCCTTACGATGTTTTATCTCAGTTATACAAACACACACACACACACACACACACAAACAAAAAACACCAAAAAAAAATCCGATTTCTCCCGTCACAAATTTGGTTCCGAGAAAAGGTACTGTAACTTTGGCCTCTTAACTGTACACGTATGGTTAATGAGATCTATATCCTAGGCTGATCAATGAGAAAATGTGGAGTATTGTTGATTTAGATTCATCGGCCCCAAAAAATAGTGGCACAGACTTGGCAGAACTGTATGATAGCATCTAACAGGGGGGGATGATGGCTGGTGGGTGAGGAAGCCCCTACACACTCACACACGCACTCTGAGAGGCACTTTTATCCTGACCCAGGGTAAATAGTGGGAGAGGAGGCCGGGAACGTGAAGGAGGAGGTCGGGGGCGTGAGAGAGAGGCCGGGGAGCGTGAGGGAAGAGGCCCGGGGGCGTGAAGGAAGGAGGAGGCCGAGGCGTGAAGGAGGAGACCGGGGGTGTGTAGGAAGGAGGAGGCCGAGGCGTGAAGGAGGAGACCGGGGGCGTGAGAGATTGATTTTATTATTTTGCCGCTTACAGTGGCTACTTTATTGTGCACCCCACACTCATCCTGTGAGCGGTAGCGCAAAAGGATTACAGAGTAGAGTTTACAACGGGTCATAGTAATTAACCCCCGTTGTCAGGATATTATGGCACTGAATGTTACACAGTATTTCAATTACATTATTTGTTTAGTTCTATACATAAAGGGTAACTTATTCACAAATGCGTGAGTACAGGCGTGTGAGGCAGTATGTCTGGCCTCACACTTTGTTATTCACATTTACGTGAGAAGTATTCAAGCACATTGTGTATTTGGTTCTGTACATGAGAACTGATATAGTTACTAAGTGCAAAAAAGTGGATACAATCTTAATATGTCGGCTATCTTGCCATTAGAGATGAAGTGTTGTGCCATTTCACACACAGTGTGCTTGGACCTGTCCCTAAAAGGTTCTATCTTCACACAGTCGAGGACGTAGTGTTCAAGTGTGTGGCCATATGTCTGGCCACACACTTTACATTTAGTTTTGTTTACATCTGCTTGAGGAACATACTGCCAAAGGTACTTATATCCTAACCTTAATCTAGCGGTTACAACATCTTGTAATCTGGTGATCTTGTTACTTGCTCCATATACATGTTTCACTTGATACATCTCATCATGGTAACCTATGGATCGACTAGTGCCTGTTTGCACTAGTCTACTTGCGTCAAACTCATCAATAAGTTCTTCCCTAATTACAGTTTTAAGGGTTCTTTTTGACAGACCCAAATTGTATTCAACGGTGTCTTTGTTAGACGCGAGTTTGGCGAGGGCATCAACTCTGTCATGTTTTATGAGGCCTATGTGAGAGGGGATCCACAACAGTTTGACCTTGACACCCCGGTCAACAAGGCACGCATATTTGTGTCTGGCTTCAGAGACAAGAGCGTGACAACCTGAGTCGAGGGTGTCAAGGGCAAGTAGTGAGGATAGAGAGTCAGTGATGATGAGACTGTCAGTAACAGCGGTTTCAAGCGTGAGAGAGAGGCCGGGGAGCGTTAGGGAAGAGGCCAGAGTGATGTACAATACTATTATGCCCTATAACAAAATGTGGGAGGAAGCCGGCTGGTATCACAGTTCTGGCATTCAACAACTGCACTGAGATATGTTCATCTTGCTCAGAGACGCAGCTTAGAGTCTTATATTGAAACACTGAAGACAAGCATAACTCTACATGCCTCCCTGTTGGATGCTGTAATGCCTTGATGCTGCCTTATAACTCAACACAAAACATCACACAGAAACATCAGCATCATAGTAACTCTTAATAAAATAGATGGACAATAAACATCGACTTTAACAAAACAGATTGACAATAAACATCGATTTAAACAAAAATGATGGACAATAAACATCGACTTTAACAAAAGAAATGGAAAATAAACATCGAC